GAAGCACTTTGAGGATATAAAGCTCTATGTAAGTACTAATGTGGAGGAAAAAACAGACGTAATTACCTTTTCATCAAGGAGGTATTTTCAGATTTGCTAATGGAGATGTAGAAACCTCATGTATATGTAAATTTTACTGTGCTTTCCCCTCCTTCCCTTCTATTTCTCTTATAAAGGTAGAAGTAGAAATTGTATTGAAATTGTCCATATCCGTTTGTTTCTTTATGCATAGAATCATAATCCTTTGTCTCTGAAAATGAAAACATCTTTGTTTTGTATGATTAGAGTGAAGAGGAAGCATAGGGGAATAAAAAAATGTTTTTTGTACAAATGTATTTTAGTGGAGTATAGGTGAGGACTGAAGGTTGCTTGAAAGTAGCATTACTTCCAGAAAGTGTGCGCTTTTTTATTTTTTTTATTTTTAAAGTTGCTGTCAGTACTGGAACTCATTATGACTGAATTCTGGTGTGTTCAGATCAAAATGCATAAAGGATGCTCTTTCTGATGACACTTTGTGACATCTGTATTCAGAGATAAGTTGGAAACTGGATTATTGATATTTAAGTTCTGTGATTAGGACTTTAATGAAATTAAGTTAATTAGAAATATTAATGGAGTAACTTCATATTTAGAGTCACGCAAGACAATGAGATTTTTTTGGAGACCTAGGATTTTGTTTTCATAATTTTCTGTTAAAATTTTGTCCTCTGCTCTTACGTGTGCACATGCAACAGAACCTGATTGTAATTGTAAAAGTACAAAAAAAAAAGGGGGGGGATATCAATGCTAGTGTTAAGCTATATCTGCACCTGAAGGACTTTACTGATTCTCTCTGCATGCAGGGCAGAAATTCTGACTGTTGACGTATAGGTATTTTTAAAAATATTTCAGTCATGAGATGCTCTGCACAAATTATCTAGTGATCTTCTGAGCTACTTAAAGAAATGTCTGCAAATAAAAGCATAGGATGAGCTCTGCATTAGCAGGCAGGAAGCCAGCAGCTTTCTTTCTGTTATTGTGTCCTTGGCTGAATTATAAACATAATTTGCCTATTTACCCCAAAGGGATAAGTAGGTAAATTTTTTGCTTGATTAGGATTTTTGGCTGTGAGGTGAGTTATTGAGAATAGGAGAGAAAGACTTAGAGAAATGGTGGAATATATATATTAAAAATACATATACAAATGAATATATACATAAAAATTATATACACACTTATATATGTTTTTTAAAATAAGTTATGGTAAGTTTTGAGAAGATTTCTCCTAAACAGAGGTTGAGGCGGCATTGTGTACTAGTGGTCAGTCTCTGGAAACTTAAGGAATTTGAGAATGTGCAAATGTATTAGTGTGGTGGGGTTTTTTTGTTGGTTTTTTTTTTTTTAAAGTACGTTTAGAGTTTCTTGTGAAGGCCATCTGTAGGGACATCCAGAGTTCTGGTTCTTTGTTTCCTGTACCCGTTTCTTCACTCCCATGCAAAGAGATGGTTTTGATTTTTTTTTTTTAATTAGGTTTCTTCATTGTATTTCTTGTGATTATTTCACACGCATTGATACGTCCTGAAGTTTTGTAACCAAACAGAAATTACGATGTTAAATGTGAAGAAACAGTTTCTGAGCACAATTAGCGAGGAAGAAATTTAATACTATATTTAAGTACTTAAAGTGTTAGTTTTGCCTTTCATTTCAACCTTCAGCTTCAAGAAGACTCATGTTTTCAGGAGATACTGTGTGTTCCGTGCGCAGTCTGTTTCCCTTAGCCTGAGTTGAAGGACAGCGCTGCCTTTACGATGTATTTTTGCTGGGAAACAATATTGCCCCGTTGTGCATAAAATGACTGAAACAAAAACACGGGGTCGTGAGCATCATTTAGCTGTTTAACACTTAGATTTATAACTTGAATTAGTGAGACTTTTATAATGTTTGGGTTTTCTAGAATGAATTTACGATAGCAGATCTGCTGTAGGAGTAGTGCGCGTGCGGCTCCCACACCAGAGCTGGCTGAACGATGTCTGTGATGAGGATGGCTACTCTTACTTCATTATTTTATTGGAAACTTATCCTCTGCAGAGTCGAGGGAGAAAAGAGTTCTAATTTGGGGTTTTTGTTTGTTTGGGTTTGGCTTTTGCAGGATGACCTTGAATTTTCCTTGCTACTTGGGACTAGTTTTGCAGTGTAATGAATTCAAATGCTTCTGTTATCATGCTGATGCTTCTCTTTGTCTTGCTTTATTTGAATTCCACCAGATTATGCTCCAATTGTCTGCCCTTTATCTGTGTAATAATGTGGTGTTTACAAGAGACATAGCTTAATTGCATTTGAAGTGTATTTAAAGAATATATGCTTTTATTTTTAAACTTTGCCTCACTTATACTAAGCCTCTAAATTGTTATCTCTCACTCAGAACCAAGAACACTATCCACTCTTTCACCTTTAACCATCCATTATGGTTTTAAAACAAAATTACATTTGAAAATCGGTCTTCAACTATTTGCATAAGGATTAAAGTTTAATCAGATTTCCATATAGGAATTTAGTGGTGTTTGCTAACCATGGGACTTCACTTGAACTTGAACTCATCAACAAGATGCTCAGTTCAGTCCTCACTGCATTTTGGTAACTAACTTCACTGGGATTCCTGAGCAGTATGTTATCTCCTCTGCAGGGAGTATTCGGTCCAGAGCTGGGTTACTGAGGCAGTTATGCTAGGTAGTTGTCAATGAATAGTGATAATTCACTTGTATGTTTGGATTCTGGCCTTTTTTTGTTTGTTTGTTTTTTTGTTCCTAAAACGTAATTAAAATTGAACAGCAGACCAGCATACCACTGCAGACGTGATGCACCTTGAAAACGGTTATGCTTCAGTCAGGGATGGCCACTTAGAGCCAGTTCCTCATTGAGTTCCCTTCATGGCCCGCTTTAAGTTACTGCAGTAAAAAAATGTGCTGTGTTTCCTCTTCCTCCTTGAACGGTTTGTGGGTTCTCTCATCCCTGAAGTGTCTTAGGTCCCTAATTCTAAGTTTGCTGGGAGGCAAAAGCGTATATTTAACACTGCAGCCTTTTTGCTCCTCTGATGGCTGCGCTTTGAATCTTTGGGGTGAGCCTCAGTGAAATGATTTATCTCTTTTCACAGATTGAATGGACAGTGCCAATTCAAGAAACTGTTTTTTTTCTTTACTGTTTACTGTCCCACCACCTACGTGCTGGTGGAGGAAAGAAACATCTTGGAAATGACATTGAAGATGTTCCCAGTGACTGCACCTGGGGAGGGCATTTTAACAGGGTTGCTCAGATGCTTGGAGTTTGTCAGTTCTTCATTGTGTCTTTTTCAGGAAGGCAAAACTTGCTTTGTTTTCTCCTGCTGTAGACTAAGAAACACAAGCATTTCATAAGATCAGAGAGCATGCATGCAATCCTGGGTGTTAGTTGATGGGGTCTAATTTTGTTTATTGGGGAAATGGTGGTGGTGTGTTTGTGAACTACTGTAGCCTAAAAAGACCGTATGGAGTGTTTTTTCCATTTGACCTTGCAAAAATGCACTAGTATCTGCTATTTTGACTGACTTAATTTAGTCTGTTTCCCTTGATTTGGTTCCATTTTTTTCCTGAGACTGAGCAGGTGCTTGATACCACCCTCCTTACTGAGAAGAATTTATTTTCTGTTCGGTAGTTTATGAAGCACTTGTAAGGTTCTCCTTGGCTTTCATTCTTCTATTACTGAGATGGTGGACCTAATTTAATGTCCAATGTGAATAGCATCCTCTTGCTTTTAAACATCTGTTCTTTTCCTGTGGGAGCATATTAGTCTGGCAGACACTTGAGAGAACTTGTAGCTAATATAGCTGGAAATTGCTGTGCCTGTACAACTGCTTTTAAAATGGAAAAAAAAAGTTCTTTCAGATGGAACTGGATATGAAGATGTACTGTTTTGGTAAAATGTATTTCGCATAAACCACTGGATTGATTTGGATGCAGCATAAAATTTTTGGTAGTTGTGCTTGCAGGGGTTTTATCTGTATTTTTGTAACAAAACAACAAGAGCTGCAAAGATTGTAAAGTCTCTTGAAGCATGATCTTGGGAGGCAGATGATTTCATGGAGTTGCTAACTAGTAACTACAGCACTGAAAACAGCATTTAATTCAGAGTTATGCGAAGGAGATGTTTATTGTTGGGGTGTTTTTTTGCTGTACGGGACTTTTTCTTTAAAACACTCTGAACTGCGAGAAGCTGTTGGTGAAGCATCTGATATTAAACATTGATACTTGCTTTAATGACTTTAACAATGATTTAAGCTTTGGGTTTTTCTTAATTGATTGTATCTTCACTTTTGTGTGTAGGTATGGGATTTCGTTTTTAGTTACTTGATTGGCTTCAGGAGCATGAAGATAACATTCAAATTAAAAACAAAACAAAACTAAACCAAACCAACACTTCTCAAAGCTGTTTGCATTCTTCCTGATATTAAATGAGTGACTTGTTGGCTAATATTAAATATGAATTTTAAAATATAAATTCTTCTTGGTGGATCTGTGACAGGAGAACCTAGATATGACCTCATAAAAATTAATATATGTTCAGAAATAGTTTTATAGGTTTTAAATAAATGTATAAGATATAAAAGTATTAAGTTATAGCCTGTGTTTTAAGTTTCCTCCAGACTGCAAAATATAAAGTGTCAGTCTAAAGAGATTGAAAACTTAGTGTCTGTTGTTTTCTAACTGATAGATCATTGGTTTTCTGTCTAATGCTGGAAGGCTTTGTAAATGCTCCAAGGGAACATGTATTTATCATTTTCTTGCTATTAGATAGAAAGGATTTTTGGTTTCTTCAGTAATACATATTTTGGGAGGAAATGCCTTCAAACTGATGAGAAAGGTATCAACTTATTTTAAGTTCTATACTTAGGATTTTTTTTTCTCTCTCTCCCACCCCCTGCACCCTCCCCACTTCTTCCCCAGCGAGCACTTGTCCTGCTCATTCACCTTCTTCTTACATGGAGACAGCAACGTTTGCACCAGTGTGGAAATCAGCCAGCATCAGCCTGTGTACCTGCTTAGTGAAGAACACCTCACTCTCGCCCAGCAGTCGAACAGCCCTTTCCAAGGTAGGTTTTGCCAGCCGGTAGTGAGTATTAAATAAATCAGTCCTTTGAGCTGCTCAGAATGAGGACTTCTGGCAAAGACTGGAAGTGGGAGCAGAGGCGTTATCTGTTCTGTGTTGATTATGCATTTTCCCCAAATGTCTTGTCTTGACATAGTCAGAAGCCAGTTGGTGTGTCTCAGCTCTTCTGCAGGTGGATGATTTCTGTATTCTTCTCTTGTCACATAGCCAAATAATTTGTCTTCATGACACAAACTGTCCTATTGGTGACTTAAATATTTTGCTTTTTCAACATGCTTTAGAACCCTCACATATCTTCATCAACCCCTCTTTTAGAAATACATTTCTGACTCAACATACTTAATCTATTCGCTCCCCCTACACCTTTTTATCTGGCTGCTTCTTGCCTGTGAATTCCTTTGGTTCCACCAGCAGATGCGGGCTGTGCTCTCGAAGACAAAGGAGTGATGGGGCCCGAGTCTGGTTAGTGGGCTGTTTGATCGTTCCCTGTCTCAGACACGCTTGTGTGGGCTATCAAAATCAGTTCTCCTGCATGACCACACACTGCCCTTGTTTATTCATGCTCAGTGTCCAAACTTGCTTTTTTTGAATGTAATTTAACAGCAGCTGTGCTTTCCTAATATGGACAAGACTAAACATGAAACAGATTACTTCCCTGTGTATATGTTGTTGTTGTTGTAACTGTACCAAGCAGAATGAAAGGATGAGGAAACACCTTAATTCTGTCAGAATTTCAAACAGTCTTTCTTTATCCCACCTGTGTGTTAGAGACTCCTTGCTAGCTGAGATGAAAACTTGCTTGTTGCTTGTTTAAATAGATTACTTTGTAATTGTTGTTGTGGTACCTTGATTCTCACAGTACGCGTACATGTAACAGTGTGTACCCATTACCAAAAACTTGGGCAGTACAGGAAAATGTGACTAGGGTACGTTTTGACTTAACGATGAGAAGTTGTTTATTTGGTGTGGCTGAAGTAACAATAATACTATTTCAGTGGGGAAGAGTGGATTTTGTTTAGATATAATCTCCAATGTATTTTTATTTATCTTTTTAGTTATTCTAAGTCCCTTTGGATTAAATGGCACGCTCACAGGGCAGTCATTCAAGCTTTCAGATTCATCGACAAAAAAGCTTATTGGTGAATGGAAACAATTCTATCCTGTCACATCTAACTTGAAGGAGGGATCTGAGGAAAAACAAGAAGAAATGGACTGGGAGGATGATTCTTTAGCTGCTGTTGAAGTCCTTGTTGGTGAGTGCTGTGATTACCTTTTAGTTACTGAAATAAACTGCCCAGTTAATCTGCAAAATTCTGAATACAAAAATGACCCCACTTTATTCTTTTTGCAACTGTTTGCGACTCATGTTAGTCTTCTGTTTTTCTGTTTAATGCTCAGGCCTGTCTAAAATGAATTGCTGCTTAAAGTGGGTCGTGCAGACCCACTAGTAGGTGTTTTTCTTCATGTGCCATGAGAAGCAAGATTGTTTTTAAAATAAATAAATTTTTTAAAAGTCCAAAAACCCTAGACTATCACTGTTGACATCAGAGATGCATCAAAAGCATGTTGTACTGTTTCAGATTCCGTGCAAATTCAAAGGGAACAGAGATGCCTTTCAGGGATGTCTTCAAAACCACAATCCTGGTGAACTTAATGTACTCAGGCACTGCATTTATCTGCTGCTGTTCCTAAAATCTAAGCCCCAGGGACACAATAGTTTGTTCCTCTGCTGTGGGCTATTGACCTTTGATTTGCCAACTAATGTAATCATTTCTCTGTAATGAGTGTTACAAGCTTGTATTGCAGTGGTGGCTGGAGACCCTGACGATGATGGGGAGGGGGTTATTGTCAGTTTTGTGTGATGGTAAAAAATATGTTGTCAGTCTTATTTATAAAACAAAATGATAGAGGCAAGTAGTAGCATGTAGATGCCAGGGCTGTCTCTGCCTGTGTATATAAAGGCCTTTTTATTTATTCACCCAAATCTTCTGTGTAAAGCAAATCATAAAGCAATGGTGAGGGTGACAACAGAGACTTTTTGTCTGAGGATAATGCTTTAGTAGGTAGAAAGGGTAGGTAAGCTTATGAATGGCCAGTGAAATGATCCGTTGTTTGATTTTGAATGTAAGTTTTTGGTAAACACCTGTAAAATGGATTTGCTCTTTTTTTCAGCTGGTGTGAGAATGGTATACCCAGCATGCTTCGTTCTAGTTCCTCAGACAGACATCCCTGCCCCTAGTACTGTAGGGGCATCTCACTGTTCAACTACTTGCTTGGGTGCCCACCAAGTGCCTGCTTCCACAAGAGATCCTGCCATGTCTTCAGTAACTCTGACTCCACCGACATCCCCAGAGGAAGTTCAAACAGGTATCATAAAATTAGCTTCTGCATGCAGGAAATAATTTTTATGGCTGCTTCTTTAAATCTAGCAGTGTTTGGAAAGGATTCAGATGTTCTCTGTGCAATGGACTTGGTTACAAAAAATCACATTTCTTTAGTCATAAGTCTGCTGTAGTAAAACCAATTTTTGTTGTTTGGTTTTAGGCAAAATTAGCTTGCACACTTTTGTAAGTTGCTGAAGTTAGGACTGCCTTTGTATGTGATGTTGTTGTCTAGTACTTTAAATGTCTGTAGTTAAGTTTTTGGTTTTGTTGGGTTTTTTGGGGTTTTTTTCCCCTCTCTGTATGTGTTTGTGTGCATGTATGTATTCTGGCATAGCTTTATAAACATCGTCGTGCATCTCGGTCATTAGTGAGGAAGGTGATGTTTTCAGCTTTTTTGTAGTCTAAGGGAGATTCTTTGTAGTTTCCAGTAAGGCCGTGTGCCCTCTGAACTGTGTCTGAGTAGGGTAGGGCTCATTGATAGTTTCAGGTGGCTTTACATACAGCTCTTCTTGTTCAGAAGAGGTTTTGTTTGTTTTTTTTCCCCCCAAGATCTTCTGTTACCTTTTTTAAAATAATACTGTTAAATTTGCTAACAGGTAGCTTTGCTCAAGTTTTCCTGATGTACGAGCAATGTTATTTTCTTTCTCAGGTCTATAGTTCCTTGGAAGAAAAAGAATAGCCGGCCCAGTTATAACATAAACAGCGCTTTCTCCCTGCCGTCCCCTCCACCCCCCCCATGAGAAGGAACCGTGTTATAATAATCGGCTACCATATGTAAATTTTCTATTTGTTTTTATTTCCTAACATTGAGTTAAAAAGATACTTTTCTTCCTAAGATGTTCCTGTGGTAGCTGAATTGGAGTAATAGTGGTTGTGAGTGTATCACCTTGTTGCCTAAAACTGTTTCTTCTGGTGCTGCTTTTCAGTTGATGCTCAGTCTGCCCAGAAATGGGTGAAGCTTTCTTCAGTTTCTGATGGATTTATCTCTGACAGTACTAGCCATCATGGTGGCAAAATACCTAGAAAGCTAGCCAATCAAGTGGTTGACAGAGTCTGGCAAGAATGCAATATGAACAGAGCGCAGAACAAGTATGTACTCATTTTGTGAAGCTAAAAAAACCCATAGTGTCTTGTGTGTTTGTTGTAGAAAGCAGTTGTTTAAAGATGCTGTGATTGCTAGTAGAAGGTGCTTTACACATAGTAATGAAACATTTTGAAGAAGATAGTTGTTCCTAAATAGTAGTCTGTGTAGTTTTAATATGTTAGTAAAAGGCTATTTATAATTGCTTTGAATCCTGTGTCACAAAACTGCTCTTGAGGCTTGACAGAAGGTAAAGAAAGAACATATGTCGATCCCACGTAACTCTCCCGATATTGAATCGTAGGAGGAAGTATTCTGCAGCATCAAATGGCTTGTGTGATGAAGAGACAGCTGACAAGGTAGCATCCTGGGATTTTGTTGAAGCCACGCAGAGGACAAATTGCAATTGCTCAAGGTACAGTACTTGGCAGACCCACAGTCCAACAACCTACGTGGAGACTGAAGTGCTCAGGAGAGGGCTTGTGATGACTCCTTTAGGAGTAATTAAGCAATAGCTGCTTGTGGGAAAGCTGCAGCAAAATTTGTACCTCATGTGCTAAATGTCATTGTAGGTCTTGAGACTCTGCGCAATAAGATAGCGCAGAGTTCTTATTCAAGTAAATCATCTGAGTGGACCTACTGGCAGTTCAGTGACAATTTCTGAGTCTTGGGCTGGAATTCCTTAGGCCTGGATATGGGTAGAAGTGATCTCGTGGGCAACTCTCTTGGGCTGCAATGAAAAGGGAATGCTTATTTATTTACAAATTAAGAACCTTTTCTTAGAGGGGTGTGGCATTAGCCTTGAAGGGAGTAAGCTGTTTAATCAACAGCAAGACAATTATGTCTTGAGGAATATGGCAAAAACCCCAAACCTGCTTTACTTTTTGGGAAATACAGCATTCCATGGGTGGTTGTGTATGAAACTGCTTTTCTGTGAGTTGATTGCCAGTATATATTTTTTATATTAGCTGAGGGGAAAAAAAGGGATCAAAACATAAGGGGAAAGTCTGGATTTGACTTCCAGTATTTCTTATGACTTCTGTTTTGAAACTGTACAGTGCTACAGACGGTTAATACAGATGTTTGAAATAAATGGAGACATTAATTTTGGTGAATTTCTGTACTTATGGCAGAATACTAATCTTTAGGTGACTGAAGTGTTGCAAAGGTTTAAATGCTTCCTCTGATTTTAAGCGTTACACTGATTACCTTGCCATGAATACTGGGATCTTAAAAAAAAAAAAGTCTGGATGATGTAGCATTGTGAAAGAAATGCATTTTTCCTCCTTTACTGAAATGGTTGATTTAAGTTCTGTGGTAATACTTGTGTCCTGAGAAGAGCTGGGAGATGGAGGAGTATTAAATATTCTGTTAAAGGAGACTTTCTCACTATTTAAGAGAAAACAATCAATTAACTGTGTGAAGTGTGTATTAGAAATAAGCAGTTGCCTAAAGAGAAATTGCAAAGACTTAAAACCTCTTCTTGTTCTCTGTATTTTGAATTCTAAGCAGTGAAAAACCTCTATATGTGTATGAGAATTTAAAGTAAAACCAGATTTTTCATACCTCTTCCCTTTTGTTCCTGCCTAATCCTGGTTTTTAATACAAGTTGCATGCTTTTTAACTTTCCTAATGGAAGCATGGCAAAGAATACCCAGGCGCTAAGGATGTATGTGCAGTTTAATCATAAACATTTTGTTCTAGAATTCAGTTTTTCATGTCGCTCGTTCTGTCAGATGATCTAGAAAGTTGGCATCTTGAACTCAAGTTCAAGAAAAAACCTAACTGTATTAATGCAGTCGAGACACTGAGTTTTTCTTCTTTTCACATGTGCTAAATTTGTGGGTAAATAGCTACAAAAGCTTCAAAGTAGCTTTTGTAGGACTGAGCCTGGCTTCTAGATTCTCAATGGTAACTTTCCACTCCTTGACCCACAGGGTCTTGGGACAGCACTACTGGTTAGTATTGATGTTTGAATTCAGGAAGTCATTCACTAACTCATACATTGTTTTACTGATTTGTCGGTGTTGGCAGAAGTTAAAAACAATGTGTTCATGTGACTATTTCTGTTAAAAGCAGTTATAAAATGCTGTCTTCAGTTATGAGGATTATGTGTGTGTTTGGCTCATAGGACAGCTTTTCTAGTTTTTTTTTAAGTGGTGTTCTAAAATCTTGCAATGCTACTCAAGTCAGTCAAATTAAGTTATGGCAAGAAAGAGGACTTCAGAATAGCATCAGTTTCAGACTTCTATAATCGACTGTGTAATGGCTTAGAAACGGGTTCTTATCTAGTGAAAAAGAACATGATAGATGTATTGGAAAGATTAATGTGAAGTATTTTTCCCCTATATTAATTCTGCAGGCACAAAAATCTCAAACCAAGAAATTCAGGTCAACAGGGGCAGGCACCACCTGTGGGCCAACAACAGCAAGCAGCTCCAAAGCACAAGACAAATGAGAAGCAAGACAAAGGGGATAAGCCACAGAAACGCCCTTTGACTCCTTTTCATCATCGTGTATCTATCAGTGATGATGTTGCCATGGAGGCAGATTCAGCAAGTCAGAGGCTTGTGATGACTGCACCAGACAGTCAAGTGAGGTTTTCAAATATCCGAACTAATGATGTAGCAAAGACTCCTCAGATGCATAATGCTGAAATGGCAAATTCACCTCAGCCACCACCACTTAGTCCTCACCCGTGTGATGTAGTCGATGAAGGGGTAGCTAAAGCTCCTTCTACTCCTCAGAGTCAACATTTCTACCAGATGCCAACACCAGACCCCTTGGTTCCCACAAAAACAATGGAAGACAGACTCGATGGCTTGCCTCAGCCTTTTCCAGCTCAATTTCCTGAAGTCATAGAGCCTACAATGTATGTTGGTACTGCAGTGAATTTGGAGGAAGATGAAGCTGATACTACTTGGAAGTATTATAAAGTTCCAAAGAAAAAGGATGTGGAATTCTTACCACCTCAGCTTCCAAATGATAAGTTGAGAGATGATCCAGTAATACCTGCTGGACAGGAAAACGTAACATCGGTTACAGAGTAAGTAGTGCTTAATACTATAGTAATGACATGAGAAAGCGAGGAAACTGAAGGGCCAAAGGCTGTTGTTTCTCACTGTAAGCAAGGTTGTCGCTTTTTTTTAACGTTGTTCTCATCAGCTCGAGCAGTAATGCTGAGTGTGTGAGCATAATGATCTGTGCTGTCTGCATTTGAGAAGATAATACTTGTGAAATCTGAGCATAAGTCACACTCAAATAGGCAGTAAGACTTTCCAGCTTTTTCTTATTAGAACTCTGATTTAGCAGGTGGCAATGAAGTTTATTTTTCTACTGTAAAATTAATCTGTGCCCAAATTATGCCTATTTGGTACTTAAAAGTCCCAAACAAAAATTAAAATGAGAAAGCTTTTTCTTTTTTCTATTTACTTTCTTCATTATTTGAAGGAAGCCTGGATGGTAGCGGCTGCAGGCTTTACCCTTTTAAAGATAAAAATTCTTCTACCTCAGTTCTTTTTATTCAGAAGAGCTTAGATTTTGAAAGCTGGTATTTAAATGCTGATGGGAACAATGCGGAAGTTGATCTGGTTTTCTGGAAGATGTTAATTTTACTGTAGGCTGCAACTACTTTCTAATATCAGAAACTTCTGTTTGGAGCAAGGGATGTGAACTGGCATTTTTGCACATGGTGCGTTCTCTCTGTGTTGTTATTCAAAAGGCTTAAGGATTTGAGGTTATCACTGAACGAAAACTAGTGACTGGTGTGTCTGCTGTTACTGCTCGTGTACCTCAGATCATACGGGAAACTATTGTTCATTAAACAAAGCTTGTCTAACTTCAAGAAATATTGAGACAGTCAGAATGTGAAGGAATATTGAAACAGTTGGACTAGATCCTTGTTAGAACCTCAGCCTTTGAGTTATGGGAAATTCATTTGAGAACATTTATTTGTTTTAACAGAAGCTAATAATTGTCTGGAAATAAAGTATGTGTAGACTGTAACTATTTAAAAAAAGGGTTTTGTTGAATAAATAGAATTTGTTTCTGAAAGCTAGTGTTGGCTAGCACCAGCTTTTAAAATGTTCTACTCTGCTGCTGTCTGTTTCAATCAGGATAAAGGTGTTGGTCACTTCTTTGATACTAAGTTTTAATAAATTATGGAGCTCAGAGGCAGTGGAGGAGAAGAATAACTCTAGTGTTTTTAGTGTTAAAATTTACATTTGAGCTCTGTTTTACTGCAGAATGAATCAACGTGGTTTTTTTTTTTTTTTTACCAGTTAAAGCTAAAACAAACTCCCCCAAAAAGACCACCACCACACCAAAAAAAAAAAAAAACCCATAAGAACAAAAAACCTGAAACAGAACCACTTGGCCTTCTGGGCTGTGTCTCCTTTGCTGTTGTACTGCATAAAAAAGTTTTCCTGTCATCCATCTTTTACACCACTTCCTTGTGAGGCCGTGCTGCAGGAGAAGGGTGGTAATGGGAAGCAACAGGTGCTGACAGAGCTGCTAAGAGCAGTCTAGACTTAACATGGCTGGGACCTGGATGCAGAGGTGACAAACTTTGGCTTAGAGTTGTGATCAACGGATTGAAAAAAATGCATCTCAATTGCACTCAGAGTTGCCTCTGTCAGCTCACTTGCTGTTGATTATTTTTGGTCCAAAATTTTTTTTTTTTAAATTTTTCCCCCCAGAGACTCTTAGTGTGACCAGTATCAAATTATTGAGGGTGTGGCTTTTGGGTTTAGTTTGTGTTTTTGGTTTTGTGGGTTTGTTTGTTTGTTTGTTTTTTGGAGATAGTGTACTTAATTTGTGGTAGAAGAGTTGCAGCAGCTACTCACCGGACTGAAATTTTATGTTGCTTTTCTGTTCTGTTGCCGGCAGTGGAAAGCCACTGATGGCAGTCGCATTGACTTTGCTGTGTAGGAAAGCTGTGAGAACAAGTAAATATGCTGTAGCTCTTGTTCCGCTCTCGTGTGCATTTCCTTAGCCATATCTTTTTGTGCTCCCTGTTGAAGAGTTTACAGTAGCTAGTGCATGTCTCAGCTCCTTCAAGTTGTGTGTTTATAGGATTTTTAGTGCTTTTTTTTTTCTTTGAATTAATTTCAGCCAACCAGAGAAAAATATGCCCTACTTAAAAATCTTCTTTTTCTGTTCAAGTCATGGTCTTTCCTTGTATGGCTTTTAGTTTGATTTAACAACTTATTGAACATACTTTTTTTCCCTATAGTATCTGGCTGTTAACTTCTCTTCCTCATTGGTGGTCAGAAATACTGGAAACTGCTGCTTGCTTTTGCTGTGTATTTTTCCTGGTCTTTAATTCCTTGTTGCTAGAAATTCGTTCCCTTTTTTTTTCCTTATGATAATTTTTTGCGGGATTTAAAAAAGAGGAAAACCCTCAACTCCATTGAGCACCGCTCCCGACATAAATGCTGATGGTGCTTGACACAAAGCCACATCCATTGCACCGTTGTCTGGCGCAGCTGTGCTGTGTGGTGTTCACGCCTAACTCAAGGTTTTATTGAGCATGGGTGACCAGCATGGATGGATTGGACAGTGCTGTTGGCTCAGAGGTGTTTCTTTGGAAAGGTTATTTCTAGGAAGTCTTTTGCCAAACCGTTTCTGTGTCCTCTCTCATACCTCATAGTTGACAGGGATGTACAGGGCAGCGAGGAGGACTGGGAGGAATCACCGTGCCTTTTTGTGTGCAGAATTTCAAGTTTGAAGTCTTTGAATTGTTCCATATCATGCTTTTCTTTCTTTCTGGTCTCTCAGAGGAGAAATGTAAGCCTGTCTTATTCTAAACCGCAGATTAGTGTCTGCATCTAGGCTGTCAAGAACAAGCCTTGCTAATGGTGAGACACATCATTTTCTTATGAGAGAGCATTTCCTCTTGGATAGAGGCTTGAGAAGGAAAGAATAGAGATGTTGGAAGCTGGGTTTGAACTTGAAGTACCCCTCTGTAATCTTCATCCTTGCAATGCCCCTTCTTCATTTTTTATTCATGTGTGAGAATTCTGTAAATGCTTCTACTGGTCATTCTGTTGCTGTTTGGGAGGAAGAGGGCCTCAGAGCAAGAAGAAATTGTGTACCTACATTAGTCTGACACTCCTGAAATATTTGTCTTGTTTGAAGGAATACCTTCGTCACATATAGTGCCTTTTGTGTGCTCGGATACATAAAATACAGTTTGCTTAGGGGCAGAAGACAGAGGGGCATATGTGCAGCTAATAATCATAACATAGTTTTCTATTTGCCAATATTCATTGCTGGTGCAACGTCACATCTGTGAAACTAATAATCCTGGTACAAAAACGTAATCTCTTTGTACTTACCAACTCCATTTTTGGCTCCAAATGTTAAGAAAAGGAAAAATGCTGACAAAAGGCAAATGTGTTGTTATTCTCGTTCGTAAATTAGATATTGGTGTGTTGGAGGCTTCACTTGTATCAATGTAAGTGCTATAAATGACTGCTAAACGTAGTGGCACTTGTGTGCTGTAGTAGTGGTTATTGCTTGGGCTGCTTGGATAGCCAGGCTGAGTGTGCAGCAGAGCGTGGGGCTGTTTGGGGTGTTAGCCGCAGCCGGGTAGTGGGAAGGCTGGCGTACTTTCTGCATTTAAATGAAGTAAACGTTCAGGAATTAGATTCTTTAAATATGAAAAATTCAGGTTTAATCACTTTTATCTGATCATTTGTTTGGACATGGCAGTGAGTAATTTTTTAATGTGGTGAATTTCTTTTAGTGGATATAGATAGTTTACTACGTTTGTACTTTATAATAAATGACAGCTATGACCTGGGATAAATTACTAATCTTTATCTGAATTGACAGGGCTTGAGGAGACATGGGCAGAATGAATCACGCTGCTGTATCTGACGTGTGTAAGGAGGTTCTATTAAATGACTAATGATTTAAACCTTTTCCCAAAAAGTTTTCTGAAGCTAAGGTGGAAAGGAAGAAAGTGGGAAGGGAAGATGAACTTGTTCTTGTAAAGGCTTTGTGATAGCAAATCTTTTTCCACATAATAAATGATAAATAATATTTTGTCTTTTTTTTTTTTTTCTGTTCAGATTAATGGTGCAATGTAGGAGACCTTTAAAGGTTTCAGATGAAGTGGTGCAACAGTATCAGAGTAAAAACCAATACCTAGCGGCAGTAGTGACGGAAGCTGACCAGGAACCTGAAATCGATCCTTATGCCTTTGTTGATGGTGATGTGGAGTTCTTATTTCCTGATAGTAAAAAAGATAGGCAGAACATTGAGAGGGAAGTCGGGAAGAAACACAAGGTGAGTAAAAGGGTGAGGATACAAATCACTGATGAGATTAAAACAAATTGCTTTAGTCACCAAATATGATTTAAATCCTTCTCTGTACATCTCTCTGTGTATTTAGAAGTGCGTTAAAAAAATAGTATTCTAGCAGAAATGATCAATGAAATTGTGCAGCAAGCCTCTTAACTACACCTAAAATTTTTTTGTCACTTTTATTTTTTTTGGAATGTTTTTGATGGCGCTGTTGCGTTAGGGTTTATGGCTTATGCTGGGAGAACACTGCTGAATTGGAACAAATAAAAAATGCCGCTCAGTAGCCTTTCTGTAGAAACGGGTGATAGCAGGTGCTTGGGGAAGAGAGGAGGAACAAGGGAAGTGCTTTGTTCATGTGTGGAAAGGTTTTGGGGTTGGTGAGGTGAATTCTTGACTACTTCCCTGGATGGTGAATTTTCTTTTTTTTTTTCTTTTTTTTTTTTTTTTTTGGCGCTTTAGTCAGTACCAACTATATGAGGCTTCTATGTCAAAAAAAAAAAAAAAAAACGCCCTCCAAAAAAAGGAGAAAGTATAACTGCATTGGGAGCGTACATCTGAAAAAATTTGTTTATTAGGGTTAGTTGTGTGTGTATGCACTCCTGGTATCAAGAGTTTCATTCAGTAACTAGTATAGTCAATGTATAGCATTTGATATAAAGTTTTTCAATAAGGTGTAGCAAAAATCCACAGCTTGCTTTTAAATTTATTCCCCAACACAAAAAGCAAGACTTACATTTTTCTGTGCTCATCATCTGCGTGTTGGTAGGACGCTGTCTGTACTCTAAGCTTCTTTCTCCCTGGGCAAGTGCTGCTACCCAGACCCCCAGACTACACCTTGCTGAGCTGGAAGGCTAATGAGAACCTGATACTTCCGAGATGTGCCAGAATTCCCATAGGGAGAGAAAATGCTCCCCACCTCCCCAGTTAATTAAAACAAACTTTTCTACCTTTTTTTAATAGGCTGAGGATGGGACATCTAGTGTTACAGTTTTATCCCATGAAGGAGAAGATGCTATGTCTCTGTTTAGTCCTTCTGTGAAGCAAGGTAAAGAGGCTTTTTTTTTTCCCCTCCTCTTTTAATTGTGCTGTGCTAATGATCTGTTGAATAATCTATTGAAGAATTAATAGATTCTAGTAGGCTAAGTTTTTACTTTATGGTTTTTATTTCCCTGTCCCTTCAGAACTCGGAATCTGCTTGCAACACATTTTCTTTGTTGCATTTTGCAAATAAATGTTGGCTCTAAAATCCAAATGTTACAAAAATGAAGGGACTTCACTTATGTGTAACATAGTTAAATGGAACTGAAACATACTTTGTTTTTTCCTC